AAGTTGCGCCTCTGCCAGCTGAAAACATTAGGTATAGTAAAGTAAAAAGAGTTTCTTTTTTGTTAATAATATTTCTTTTAAAAAATCATCCTTAAGCAAATTTAGCTGACCGCCAACCAACTGGACTAGCTCTGGGTTCACACATGGCAGATGGGAAAGGGAAAAAAACACTTCTTGTATCCTACAGCTGTTACACTTTAAAACTGACAGGAGCAGTTTGAAATACCCAAACTGCTGCAGAAGAAGCCCATTAAAGAAGAAGGTGTAGTGTTTACAGATGTGCCTTTTATAAACAATTTTAGCACACTTTAAAAAAACAGCATACCTTCAAATATATGCGTTTGAGCACATGGGTATCTTTTTAATAAAAAACCTCGATATTCTTGGATTAGATACTTCTGGCCTTCCTGTTTTATAACATAATGGCTTTTATACAAATATGAAAACACCTGGGATGCCATATACTTAAAGTTAAAGCTCTTAAACTCAAAATGCAATTGCATTTTTAACACACAAAATAGTCCCCCCATCTATAATTTGTTCTTATCTTACGCACACATGCATTCCAAATTAAGTAGAGATCCTTATCTAACTTCAGGAATTGAAGTTGACAACTGAGAATTATCCTGGACTGTTACTGTCAAAGATAAAGGTCAAGTTAATTTCCTGATAACCATTTTGCTGTTTAGAAGCAATGACTGTTTTTTAGAAACACTACAGCAGACCTTTCCAAAATGGAAACACAATCTAATGTTGTTCTTATTCCTCTTTTTAGATCTTCACAGAAAAACATCCCACAGCTCTCTTTTTTGCCAGCAGCTGTTCAGACCCAACTAGAAAGTTTCAGTAACATAAACTTCCCATTCCAAGGACACAGACTTGCCCACAATCTCATAGCTTTGCCCTTGATAAAGAAGCTGGGAAAGCGCAACATCAATGAACCACTTCTTGCAGGGAGGCACTAACACTGCATTCCCCAGACCAAGACTGTTCTTTTACGAGCGTAAACTAACTTATGTGTTCTCTAGGAAGCAATCAAAATCTAAACCCTTATCGGTCTCTACGGTACTTAAGAGTCCTATGCAAACAACAGATAACAGAAGAAATAGCAGGGGTTACTGATCCCCACATCCTCAGGGAACTGAATTGCTGGCTTTAATGGTGTAACTCAGGAATCACCTTTATAATCTTACTGCAAAGCCTGGGATGCGGTGATCAGAAGGGTCATCAAAAAGTAAGTACGTCAAAGATGGGGCACATAACGTCAACCAAAAATGAGCAGCACGAGGCAGCCTCAGTTTTCAGTGACAGGACTAAAATAGTGTTGGTCCTACAATGCCCCCCTCCCCCTCCCCGTGCAGCCACTTTTTGCCCACGCCGCCACTTTTTGTCAGAGGTTCACTCTCACCATCCCCATTTTTCAGGACTGAAATAAAGTGTTGGACCTACAATGCCCCCCACCCCCCAGCCACCTTTTGCTTAGATGTCAGAGTTTCACTTTCACGATCCCCATCGAGTACAAAACAACAAGCAATTTGTGTCACACAGGCAGTATGCTGTTTTGTATTCATTACGATGGACAATATTATGTATGTGAGAGAAGATAGGAAATTACCACTCCATACAAAAAGAGGACCTGCATGGAGGGAATCAATACCACCCCCGCTCTTTGCTCATTCAGCTTCTGAAAATATAGCAAGGGATGTGTGTATACTTTAGGACTCATCTTGAACTGGCATGGCTCAATGCGATGGAATCCTGGGAGTTGTAGTGTGGTGAGGAACCAGTACATATTAGCAGAGAAGGCTAAAGACCAGGTAAAACTACAACTCCCTGGATGTCATCACGGTGAGCTGTGGCAGTTCAAGTGGGGTCAACCTGCATTCATTCTACACTGTACACAGATGCACCGAAGACAAGTTAAATAGTGTGTGTGTGTTGAGAGGGGGATGGACTCACACCCAAGTGAACTAAAGGCCCTACCACACAGTCCTACATTCCAGAAGATCAAGGCAGAAAATCCTACAATATCCGATTTGAACTGGGTTATCTGAGTCCACACATATTTTCCAGTTAAAAGCAGATAATGTGGGATTTTATTCAGCTGTGTGAAAAAGGCTTATGGCACTGACCACTTATTTTACTTTAAACCCAGTACTGAAGAAAGTGGTTTTGCTATGCTAATGATTGCACAGAAAATCCTGAAACCAGTTTGAGGCCTGGGTGGTGATGATTATACAAACTGCAGAGCACTGATGTGAGGGGAGGGGGGTCTCTCTTTGCACATTTGTGACAGTTTGAAGCCATCTTGGAACAACATCAAATGGTGAGTGTTGATGGGGCCTCTAAGACTGGATCTACGCTGCCCCATATTCCGGGATCTGGTCTCAGATTACAGTGTGGCCTCAGATAATCTAGTTCAAAACAGATATTGTGGATTACCTGCTTTAATATTCTGGATTATATGGCTGTGAGGAAAGGCCCTTAGTCTACACTGGCCAGATAATCTGGGATAAATAAAAAGTCTGGGATAAGGAAAAAGTCTGGGATCAGATCCTGAGATAGAGGGCAGTGTAGATCCTTCCTGAGGTTCCTTCCACACATCTGAATGAAATCCCACATTATCTGCTTTGAACTGGGATGTATGGCAGTGTGGACTCAGGGCCCTTCCACACAGCCCTATATCTCATAATATTTAGGCAGAAACCCCATATCAGGCCCGTAGCCAGGATTTTGATTGGGGGGGGGGCTCAGGATCTACCCTAGCAAACCTTTTGTATCATTATCCCAATACCTCCGTGCATATGGGATATATTGAGCATGGTGATCAGATCATGATATGAATAAACATAACAATTTAAATGATGTACTAGTAAAGCCTGAGAATTTCGGGGGGGGGTGAAGCCCCTCAAGCCCCCCCCCCGGGCTACGGGCCTGCCCCATATTATCTGCTTTGAACTGGGTTATCTAAGTCCACACTGAGGACCCTTCCACACAGCCTTATATTCCAGAATATCACATGTGGGATTTCCTGCCTTGATATTCTGTGTGGAAGGGTCCTCAGTGTGGACTCTGATAGTAAAGTTAAAGGTTTTCCCCTTACATTAAGTCCAGTTGTGTCCGACTCCGGGGGCTGGGGCTCATCTCCGTTTCTAAGCTGAGGAGCCGGCACTGTCCGTAGACACCTCCAAGGTCATGTGGCTGGCATGACTGCATGGAATGCCATTACCTTCCCAAAGAAGTGGTTCCTATTGATCTATTCACATTTGCATGTTTTCGAACTGCTAGGCTGGCAGAAGCTGGGGCTGACAGCGGAAGCTCACGCCACTCCCTGGATTCTAACCTGCGACCTTTCAGTCAACAAGCTCAGCAGTTCAGCAGTTTAACCCACTGCGCCACTGGGGGGGCTCAGATAACCCAGTTCAAATTACATATTGTGGGATTTTCTGCCTTGATGTTCTGGGATATAGGGCTGTGTGGAAAGGCCCTTAGATAACCCAAAATATCAAGGCAGAAAATCCCAAAATATTTGCTTTGAACTGGGTCATCTGTGTCCACACAGCCATATAACTCAGAATATCAAGGAAGAATAACCCACAACATCTACTTTGAACTGGAATATCTGAACCCACACTGCCATATATTCGAGCTCAACGCAGATAAAGTGTGTTTTTTAAAGAGGATTATTCCGCCTTGATATTCTGGGTTATATAGCTGCCTGGAAGGGCCCTGAGTCCACACTGCCATATAAGCCAACTCGATAAGGATTTTATACAGCTGCGTGAAAGGGACCATAGTGAGAGCGCATACTCAAAGGGGAAGCAAAGAGAGCAAAATTGGCCATCATAAGTCATAATTATGAGTTGCTGTAGGTTTTTCAGGCTATATGGTCATGTTCTAGAAGCATTCTCTCCTGACGTTTCGCTTGCATCTATGGCAAGCATCCTCTGAGGTTGTGAAGTCCTCACAACCTCTGAGGATGCTTGACACAGATGCAGGCGAAACGTCAGGAGAGAATGCTTCTAGGACAGTGGTTCTCAACCTTTGTGATGCCGCGACCCCTTAATACAGTTCTATATGTTGTGCTAACCCCCAACCATTAAATTATTTTCGTTGCTACTTCATAACTGCAATTTTGTTACTGTTAGGAATCATCATGTAAATAACTGATATGTAAGATGTATTTTAATTCAGTGGATCAAATTTGGCACAAATACCCAATACGCCCACATTTGAATACTGGTGGAGTGGGGTGGTGGAACTGATTTTGTCATTTGGAAGTTGTAGTTGGTGGGATTTATAGTTCACCTACAATCAAAGAGCATTCTGAACTCCACCAATGATAGCATTGAACCAAATTTGGCACACAGAACTCCCATGCCCAACAGAAAATATTGGAAGGGTTTGGTGAGTTTTGGAGTTGTAGTTCACCTACATCCAGAGAGCACTGTGGACTCAAACAATAATAGATCTGGACCAAACTTCACACGAATACTCAACATGGCCAAATGTGAACACTGGTGGAGTTTGGGGAAATTAAAGCTTTGTATTTGGGAGTTGTAGTTGCTGAGATTTATAGTTCACCTACAATCAAAGAGTCCCTAGAACCCCACCAACGATAGAATTGGTCCAAACTTCCAACACAGAACCCCCATGACCAACAGAATGTACTGGAGCGATTTGGGATGAATTGACAGTGATTTAGGGGAGATGTAGTTCACTTTCCACCTTTCTGATGGGTCTTTGGCGACCCCTCTGACACCCCCTCGCGCCCCCCCCCCCAGGGGTCCCGACCCCCAGGTTGAAAAACGCTGTTTTAGGACATGACCATATAATCCGAAAAACCTACAACAACCCAGTGATTCCAGCCATGAAAGCCTTCGAAGCGGAGAGAGCCAAAGTGGCACATCATCATAACAGTCACCATGATAACAATCATAATTGTCATTCTCGTAGTGGTAGTAGTAGTAGTAGTAGTAGTAGTAAAGGCGGCAGCGTACCTTGGCCTCTGCCAGCTCGGGCTCTTCCTCGTCGTAGCCCTGTCCGGATTCATAGGCAGCGGCCGTGGCCGGCTCGCGAGCTCCGAGCAGCAGGAGCAGCACCAGCGCCGCCGCCGCCAGCGAGTCACCCAGAGGAGAGAAGAGTCCCAGCAAGTGCATCTTGGGCCGCGCGCGGAGACAGCGCGCCCGGCGGGAGGGAGCAGGCCTCCCCTCGGGACAGGCGCCCGCCACTGCTTCCTCCTCCTCCTCCTCCCCGGGCTCTTGCCTCGCTTGCCCTGCTTCCCCAGAAGTTGACTGCGCGCTCAAGGCTTCTCCCCTCTCCGGAGGCGACCGGACATCCGAATGGGGGCGAAGGAGTTCCCGCAGGAGGAGGAGGAGGAGGAGGAAGGGGGTTCCTCTCCAGCCGCCCCTTCCCTTCCCCTCCCTCCCCTCTCCTCGAGGCTTAGAGGCCAAGGAGGTGCGAAGCCGGCACGCGGCGCTTCCCGGAGTGGCTTCTTCTTCCTCGGGGATGGGTCCGCCGGGGCGCGGAGCGGGAGGACCCGCGAGGGGTGGCGGGCATGGCGGGAAGCGCCCTCTCCCTGCGCTCCTCAGAGGCGAAAGGCAAGAAGCGAGCCAGGCAGGCAGGCAGCCGGGACGTGTCCCCACCCACTCGCCCACACCGAGACCCACCCGCGTCTCCCGCGGCGCCTTTGGACACCAGGAAAAAAAAAGGCGGGGAAAGGTGAGGGAGGCAGAGAGGGAGGCGCGCGCGAAGGGAGGAGGGAGGGAAGGAGGGAAAGAAGGAGGGAGCGCGCGCCTCCCCCCCCCCCCCCCCCCCCCCCTAAATTCCCCAAAACTTCAGAGACACGCGCTGTTTTGAGTGCGCGCGCCCTCCCGGCCGCCTTTTTTTGCGCCTCGCTTTTTCAGCCCGGGGCTCCCTCGAGGTGGCTACTGAGGGCCCTTCCACTCAGCCCTATATCCCAGAATATCAAGGCAGAAATCTCACAATATCTGCTGAGCTGGGTTATCTAAGGGCTCTTCCACGCAGCTCTATATCCCAGAATATCAAGGCAGAAATCCCACAATATCTGCTTTGAGCTGGGTTATCTAAGGGCCCTTCCACGCAGCTCTATATCCCAGAATATCAAGGCAGAAATCCCACAATATCTGCTTTGAGCTGGGTTATCTAAGGGCCCTTCCACGCAGCTCTATATCCCAGAATATCAAGGCAGAAATCCCACAATATCTGCTTTGAGCTGAGTTATCTATGGGCCCTTCCACACAGCTCTATACCCCGGAATATCAAGGCAGGAAATCCCACAATATTTGCTTTGAGCTGAGTTATCTAAGGGCCCTTCCACGCAGCTCTATATCCCAGAATATCAAGGCAGGAAATCCCACAATATCTGCTTTGAGCTGGGTTATCTAAGGGCCCTTCCACGCAGCCTTATATCCCAGAATATCATGGCAGAAAATCCCACAATAGCTGCTTGAACTGGAATATCTGAGGGCTCCTCCGCACAGCCCTATATCCCAGAATATCATGGCAGAAAATCCCACAAACATCTGCTTTGAACTGGGTTATCTGAGGGCTCTTCCACACAGCCCTATATCCCAGAATATCAAGGCAGAAATCCCACAATATCTGCTTTGAACTGGGTTACCTGAGTACACACTTCCACACAGCCCTATACCCCAGAATATCAAGGCAGGAAATCCCACAATATCTGCTTTGAGCTGGGTTATCTAAGGGCCCTTCCACGCAGCTCTATATCCCAGAATATCAAGGCAGAAATCCCACAATATCTGCTTTGAGCTGGGTTATCTAAGGGCTCTTCCACGCAGCTCTATATCCCAGAATATCAAGGCAGAAATCCCACAATATCTGCTTTGAGCTGAGTTATCTATGGGCCCTTCCACACAGCTCTATACCCCGGAATATCAAGGCAGAAATCCCACAATATCTGCTTTGAGCTGGGTTATCTAAGGGCCCTTCCACGCAGCTCTATATCCCAGAATATCAAGGCAGAAATCCCACAATATCTGCTTTGAGCTGAGTTATCTAAGGGCCCTTCCACACAGCTCTATACCTCAGAATATCAAGGCAGGAAATCCCACAATATCTGCTTTGAGCTGGGTTATCTAAGGGCCCTTCCACGCAGCTCTATATCCCAGAATATCAAGGCAGGAAATCCCACAATATCTGCTTTGAGCTGGGTTATCTAAGGGCCCTTCCACGCAGCTCTATATCCCAGAATATCAAGGCAGAAATCCCACAATATCTGCTTTGAGCTGGGTTATCTAAGGGCCCTTCCACACAGCCCTATATCCCAGAATATCAAGGCAGAAATCCCACAATATCTGCTTTGAGCTGAGTTATCTATGGGCCCTTCCACACAGCTCTATACCACAGAATATCAAGGCAGGAAATCCCACAATATCTGCTTTGAGCTGGGTTATCTAAGGGCCCTTCCACGCAGCTCTATATCCCAGAATATCAAGGCAGAAATCCCACAATATCTGCTTTGAGCTGGGTTATCTAAGGGCTCTTCCACGCAGCTCTATATCCCAGAATATCAAGGCAGAAATCCCACAATATCTGCTTTGAGCTGGGTTATCTAAGGGCCCTTCCACGCAGCTCTATATCCCAGAATATCAAGGCAGAAATCCCACAATATCTGCTTTGAGCTGGGTTATCTAAGGGCCCTTCCACGCAGCTCTATATCCCAGAATATCAAGGCAGAAATCCCACAATATCTGCTTTGAGCTGAGTTATCTATGGGCCCTTCCACACAGCTCTATACCCCAGAATATCAAGGCAGAAATCCCACAATATCTGCTTTGAGCTGGGTTATCTAAGGGCCCTTCCACACAGCCCTATATTCCAGAATATCAAGGCAGGAAATCCCACATTATCTTGAGCGTGGGACGCAGATAACCCAGTCCAAAACAGATGTTGTGGCATTTTCTACCTTGATATTCTGGGATACAGGGCTGTGTGGAAGGGCCCTGAGTCCACACTCAGATATTGTGGGATATTCTGCCTTGATATTCTGAGATATTGGGCTGTGTGGAAGGGCCCTCAAGATAATCCATGGCCATTCCACACAGCCATATAACCCAGAATACCATGGCAGAATAACCCACAATATCAGCTTCAAACTGCCATTTATCCCACTTCAAAGCGGATATGGTGTGATTTTATACAGCTGTGTGGAAGGGGTCCTAGACTATGGGCCTTCCAGACAGGCCCTATATCCCAGGTTTTATGTTTACCTCAGATTCCACACTCATTTAATCCAGGAACCTTCCACACAGCCATATAACCCAAAGTATCAAGGCAGAAATCCCCACAATATCTGCGTTGAACTGGATTATTTGAGTCCACACTGCCATACATTCCAGTTTGAAGCAGTTATTGTGGGATTTTCTGCCTTGATATTCTGAGATATAGGGCTGTGTGGAAGGGCCCCCAGAATATCAAGGCAGATAATCCACAATATCTGCTTTGAACTGGGTTATCTGAGTCCACACTGCCATATAACCCAGTTCAAAGCAGATAATGTGGGGTTTTATACAGCTGTGTGGAAGGGGCCTCAGATAACCCAGTTCAAAACAGATATTGCAGATTATCTGCCTTGATATTCTGTGTTATATGGCTGTGTAGAGGGGCCCTCAAATAACCCAGTTCAATGCTGATAATCTGGGATGACATCCTGGAATATAGGGCAGTGTGCATTCAGCCTTGGTTGTGTTTTCTTGCATGGCAAAATGGGCTTTGAGGGGACCCTTGGGTTTCTTCCAACTCTAGGATTCTAGGGGCCCTTCCACACTGGCATATAACCCAGAATGTCAAGGCAGATGATCCACAAATTCTGTTTTGAACTGGGTCCCCTTTCACACAGCTGCATTAAATCCCACATTATCTGCTGGCATGTTTGGCAGTGTGAACTCGGCCCTTTCACACACTGAATCGAATGGAGGACAAATAGGCTGTTCTATGGGCTCTTCAAATAGACAGGAGCTCACATTATCTTTAAATAGAAGTTATTATAATACACTATGTAACGAAATTTTAAAAATAAATCTGTTCCAGATTTAGGAAAAGACATTTATAACCCAGGAACATACAATCATGTTGCATAGTGATATTAATGCCCATATCGCTCTGTCCCACCACTTGCACAGGCATGTGAAGAGGGCTATCTCTGGAGATTTAAAACTAGCATACTTTATGTTATCCTTTCATAGGCTTTCTGTTTCAGCAGGCCTTTGAGAGCCAATTGCTCTCAAAGGGCCTGCCATGGGCTGTATTGCTTTTATTTGTTGTTGTTCTTCAGTGGTTTTTTTAAAAAAAAACTGCCTTTGACCTTTTAGCAACTAGTTATGTTTAAAACTTTTGTGTGATGTAAGCTGCCATGAGTTCCAGACTGGAAGCAGGATTGTTGCTGTTGTCCGCAACAAACAGCTTGTAGTACATTATAATAAAACTATAGTAAATAATAAAACTTTATTTACATTCTGCCCTATCTCCCTGAGGGAAACCTCTTTTGATTTACTGTAACACTTAAAAAAGTGCTTTCTATTCAAATCTGGAACATGTCGTCAGGGAAGTCTGTCCCTAAAAATAACTGGTATAATACAAGGTTTCTGACTCACCTCATGGATGAATCAAAGGGCTAAGGAAGCAGACCGTCTAATAATATGCAAGCTGAGTTTGATGACAAGGATTTGACCACCCACTGTTGTTTATTTCTTACTTGTGTACTGCAGTGCAGTTAGCACAAAGCTGTCCTCAGTTGAAGTAAGCCACATAGAGAAGCTTTACTTCCGAGCTCAGTTCAAGGGATTGTTTTTGCCTAGGAAGCCCTAAATCAAATGTTTATGGCCCCATCTACACTGCAATATAATGTCTTTTAAAGTGATGCTTATTTGCAGCCTCAAACTCCTAGGCACATCTTCAAATGTCCTAGAACTGTGAGCTTTTCCCCCTCATTGCTCGATTATTCAATAATGACTCTTAAAAAGGAAAACAAAACATGTGAATGGTGGAAGCTTGACTTATAATTTGTTATTTGAACAGGTAATCTTTATGTATGCTCATAGAAGAATCTCAGCAAAGGCACCATTACTTCCAGTCACCATATTTGCTCAATTATAGCTGAGATGAAGGTTTGCGGAAGATTCTTGGGAGTAGAGAAAGGCAAACTGTTACATTTACATGCAGTTTTGGGTGGTTTGGCATAGTTTGAGAACAAGAGACACCAAATATTGTTCTAGGGTTCCCACCCCCCCGAACATTTTGAGGGACTGCCAGAGGACTGCCAGAGGGACTGCCAGAAATGAAGTTCAGGGGCTACAACCTTTCACACCTCTGGCATAAAACATGACTGTGAGGGGAAGTCTCTTATGTTTTTCATGTTAAACCAGGGTTCTGTGCTACTGCTTCTGCTCAAATAAAGGTCATTCTGCTCAGGAAGCAATGTGCTAGCAGCTACAGGAAATTTGGCTGGGAGCTGCCCATAAATCCTGGAAGGGCTTTAGTAAAACCGAACAACTGTTATTGAGCTGAGGACAACTTTTCTGATTGGCAACATGCTCTTCTTCTTTTCTTTTAAGTTAAATTTAAAAATTGGCAGTTTGTGCATAAAATTAATTGAAGTTATCTTAAACGATTTCTCTCCCTCCCCCCCCCCCCATATAAT